ACTATCAACAGTCGTGATCTATCGTTATCCGCTCTCGCTATAATCTCTCTCATTATTGTTATAAGACCTTCACGTTTACTATCTAGCTCCTCCTTTGACCATGTGCTGCTTGGCGGTGGACTATATGCATTTATCATCATTAGTTTATCATCCTCATAGCAGATCTCTAGTGCTATTATGTCAACTTCTTGTGGATTGGCAGTCATTATTTCCTTCACCTTTAGGTGTTCTTTTACCAGCACAGCAACGCCACCGCCTTTCCTAATTTTTCTGTCCCGTCTCCAAATTGAGTAGCCCCTTGGGAATATGACCTCATTTAAAATTACATCTTCAAGTTTTGTCTCCGTGAGTGCAACAATGTCTGGTGTCTGCAGCTGTATTACATCACTTAACTCCAGTATCTTCGATCTCACTCCATCTATGTTGGTGTATGCAATCTTCAGGAACTTGTTCCCCTCTCCTTATTCTTCACTCCCCCTCTCTCTATTGATTTTGTTGGTTTGCCTTTATGTACCACTTTACTGGTTTGCCTACCCCTATCACTTTGTAGAAAAAAGAATTTATTTCTTCTTCATTCCTGCTCTCATTTAAATGTTTTGCCTCGGCGAGGTTCAGTTTCAGCTTCTCTCTATCTTCTTTTGAAAGATCTCGTCTTAACGACCACCCTTTCCCATCCTCATCCCTTTGCAATTTTCTAGCATTCCTTAGTACTTCTTCCATCTGTTTGGCACCGTTTAGGGTGATCCTCAAAGGTCGACCTTTCCCTTTTACGTACCTGCCTATTCTCCTGTAGTCGCACACATTCTCTCTGTTTGTAAGACCTTCCACGAGGCCAACAATTTTATCTACTACTTTAGCTTCTTCTACAGCTCTTTCTGACCTAGATGTTATCGCCTTTTCTTTGCAGCCAAAAATGATCAGGGACTTACTCCGATCAACTGTGTTTTGCACCAACTTCGGGTTAGATGCCAATTCTTTCCTCACTTCTAGCCTAATGTTTGTTTTATCTTGGTTGCTGCAGTGTTTGACTTCCTTTACTGCTTCTTCTATTTTTTCCTTCTCCTTGGCCACTTGTGCATAAGTGAGTTGCATATCTTTCTTGCACTGTTCTATTCCCTGTGTAACTTCCTCCATCTGTGCTGACAAAAGCTGTTTCTCCTGTTGAATTTCCTTGCCTAACCTATTGTAGTCATTTATGTTTAAATTTACTTTAACTTCTTCCAAAGCTATTTTTAAGAGTTTATTTTCTTCTTCCATGGCTTTGCAATTTGTTTCCAATTGATTCTTATCCTTACGCAAGTCTTTCACTAAACCCTCAAGACATAAAACTTTGCTATTCAAATGGTCATTACTTTCTTTCAATTTACTAATTATTTCTACATGGGAGTTCACTATAGTATCTAAATTTTCCAACTTGTTATGTAGACTACTAATATCAATGCTTTCTTCATTTCATTGGTGTGTCTCCCTCTCTGCCTGCCATCCAGCCTGCCTCCCTCTCTGCCTGCCATCCAGCCTGCCTCCCTCTCTGCCTGCCATCCAGCCTGCCTCCCTCTCTGCCTGCCATCCAGCCTGCCTCCCTCTCTGCCTGCCATCCAGCCTGCCTCCCTCTCTGCCTGCCATCCAGCCTGCCTCCCTCTCTGCCTACCATCCAGCCTGCCTCCCTCTCTGCCTGCCATCCAACCTGCCTCCCTCTCTGCCTGCCATCCAACCTGCCTCCCTCTCTGCCTGCCATCCAACCTGCCTCCCTCTCTGCCTACCATCCAGCCTGCCTCCCTCTCTGCCTGCCATCCAGCCTGCCTCCCCCTCTGCCTGTCATCCAGCCTGCCTCCCCCTCTGCTTGCCATATCCAGCCTGCCTGCCATATCCAGCCTGCCTCCCCCTCTGCCTGCCTGCATATATATATATATATATATATATATATATATATATATATATATATATATATATATATATATATATATATATATATATATATATATATTTTATTAAATATGACCAAAAAGTAAGATTAATAATTCTAACACAAATTTTCTCGATCTTTCTTATGATTCTTTTCACTCTTGATGGTAATTGAAAAATCAATTCTCCAAAATTCATTTTTATTTCTAGTCTGACGCGACACTTGAGCGCGTTTCGTAAAACTTATTACATTTTCAAAGACTTTAGTTTACACACACACACAACTATAACTGAATAGAGCTTAAACATCTTTGATTTTTTTATTGGCCGAAGTGGGTTTCCAGGCTTGTGTGTCTTGACATTTCCATACGCATATCCAGGTTTATATTCCCCTATTAGGTTTATTCCCCCCAGGTTTATATTTCCATGTGGAACACGGGCCACAGGGATAAGAGCCTCGTTGGACGTAGAATCACTGTTTACCAACGTACCTGTGGATGAAACAATCGGGATGATAGCCGACAGAGTGTACCGTGATCCGGCCTGTACTCCTCTTGACATACCAGAAAACAGTCTTTAGGAAACTACTCCAAGCTTGTACTAAAGAGGCACCCTTCTTGAGCCCGGATGGACACATGTATAAGCAAGTAGATGGGGTCGCCATGGGTTCTCCCCTAGGTGTCCTGTTTGCAAACTTCTACATGGATACCATCGAGCAAAAAGTCTTAGTCGACATGAACTTGAAACCGGCCATATACTGCAGGTATGTTGACGACATTTTTACACAGGTACCTGATGTCAGACATCTGCAGGAGCTGAAGGAGGCATTTGAGCAGAATTCTGTGTTGCGTTTCACTTACGAGATGGAAAAGGATGGGAAGCTGCCCTTTCTAGATGTAACAGTCATGGAAAGGAGCGGAGTTTTCCACACTGCAGTCTACACTAAGGAAACAAACATAGGAATGTGCCTGAATGCCAACAGTGACTGCCCGGACTGGTACAAGAGGAATGTTGTTAACGCTTATGTCGACCGTGCCCTCAGCCACAGCTCAGAATGGAAGCAAGTCGACGAAGAACTCTGTAGGGTAAGGCAGGTTCTAGTCAACAACGGCTTCTCCAATGGTTTCGTGGAAGACATCATAAGAAGGAAAGTGAAACGCCATGCAACCTCTGAAGAGACAACTCACACAACACCTATACCCCCTATTAGACTACTTTACAGGAACTTCTTTTCCACAGCCCATAAAACGGAGGCAAGGGTCCTGAAAGATATTGTCAGTAGAAACGTTATCCCTACAGACAAAAATCAGAAGATACAACTGACAATTTACTATAAAACCAAAAAAACGGCCAGCCTACTCATGAGAAACTCTCCATACACAAAGCAGAACGTTTTAAAAGAGACCAACGTCGTCTATGCCTTCAAATGCCCTCTTGGGGATTGTAAGCCTCAAAAAACTCAGTATGTAGGCAAGACAACAACATCTCTTTCCAGGCGTTTAACGATGCATAAGCAACAGGGCTCCATTAAGGAACATATAGCCTCTTCCCACCACCAAACCATCACCAGAGAAATCTTAGCAAACAACACAGAAATCATCGATAGATACAGCGATAGCAGGCGGCTCGACGTCTGCGAGGCACTACACATCAAGAAGTCAACACCAGCAATCAACAGCCAATTAATGCACAACTATATTCTACCCACTTCAAGACTCCACTCCAATATAGAAGCATCAAGAAATATGGGCCAATAAAAATAGGCCTTCTACAGTTACGTACTTTTAATACCTGTTTGTATTTCATTGTTTCGTGTTCTGTCTTGTGTTAAAAGTTTATTTTCACCTCATCCAAAACTATTGTAACATGTCACTTCACACAAATGTAGGTATAAAAACTCGAAAGATGTTTAAGCTCTATTCAGTTAAAGTTGTGTGTGTGTGTGTGTAAACTAAAGTCTTTGAAAATGTAATAAGTTTTACGAAACGCAATCAAGTGTCGCGTCAGACTAGAAATAAAAATGAATTTTGGAGAATTGATCTTTGAATTACCATCAACAGTGAAAAGAAACATAAGAAAGATCGAGAAAATTTGTGTTAGAATTATTAACCTTACTTTTTCGGTCATACTTAATAATATATGTCTACAGGAAAGACTGCTATATAAAATATACTAATATATATATATATATATATATATATAAATTTCCTGTTTATATATATAAATATATATATAAATATATATATAATATATATATAAATATACATATATATATATATATATATATAAATATATATATAATATATATATAAATATATATATAAATATATAAATATATATATATATATATATATATATATATAATATATATATAAATATATAAATATATAAATATATATATAAATATATATATATATATATAAATATATATATATATATATATATATATATATATATATATATATATGTCGTACCTAATAGCCAGAACGCACATTTTGGCCTACTATGCAAGGCCCGATTTGCCTAATAAGCCAAGTTTTCCTGAATTAATATATTTTCTCTAATTTTTTTCTTTTGAAATGATAAAGCTACCCATTTCATTATGTATGAGGTCAATTTGTTTTATTTGAGTTAAAATTAACGTAGATATATGACCGAACCTAACCAACCCTACCTAACCTAACCTAACCTATCTTTATAGGTTAGGTTAGGTTAGGTAGCCGAAAAAGTTAGGTTAGGTTAGGTTAGGTAGGTTAGGTAGCCGAAAAACAATTAATTCATTAAAACTTGGCTTATTAGGCAAATCGGGCCTTGCATAGTAGGCTGAGAAGTGCGTTCTGGCTATTAGGTACGACATATATATATATATATATATATATATATATATATATATATATATATATAAAACACAAAAATTACTGGGTAAATAAATTAATATAAAGGGCCCATTGATGTCCATGAAATGATAGTGGCTTAGGTGTTGTACCATGATACAGGTACCTAATAAACACTTGATTAACACTTTGTGTAGTCCCAAGCAATTTGGTTTAAAGATGCTCTACTGTATTAATTCATCTTTATCCAAATAAATAAAATACCTGGTTAACAGTTATCCTGGGTAAGTTGATCTGCTCCGGGTAAATCCAAGGTTTGTAGTTCGGATTATTATGGGACTTCCAAGCAATGTACTGTCTACTTGCCTTATGTAACGTCTTCACCATCTGGAAGTAATTAATTAGTTAAAAATAGCATTTAAAATGTTCAGGTGTAATATTTCTCTTATGGGCCATCATACCTCTCAAGCAATTTATAAACTCAGATTCAGAGTATGGAAGTTTAACCCTTAAAATGTAGCAATGGATATACTGTACATGCACGTGAATAGGATCCCAGTAGTACAGTGAGGCTCATTCTCGACTCACAATTGGGAATTCCAGGCTCAAATCCTGGGAACAGAAATGGTTGAGTGTGTTTCCGATCACCTAATGTTCTGTTCACCTAGCAGTAAATGTGCTATTTATTAGCAGTAAATAAACATGAGTTAGCCAGCTTGTTGTGAGGATGCAGCCTGGGAAGGATCGGTAGTTCGATCTTGGGGGGAGGGGGGACCTCAATATAAGCCTAACATGTATATAGCATACACTAGTTGCCTGTTCCACGACTCGATGAATTATTATTATTATTTACAGAAAGAAATCACAGTAACATAACACATATCATTGAGAAAATCAATTGGAGTAATGAGGTGACTCAAACCAGTAATCAAGGAACTCCCAGCTGTGCACCTTACCCCTACAACTTGGTATAACTTATATAACCTGAGATTCCACTGAATCAACAGGACATCTTGAGGCTTTTACTACCTGGATTGTACTTGGATCAGGTTCTGGGAGCCTCTTCTACTACCTAAGCCCAGCCCAGGGCCAGGCTTGACTTTAGAGCTTGTCCAACAGGCTGGTGCTTGGAATGACCCATAGATCCACATATACATTACAGCCCAGTTGGTCAAGCACTTCTTACAGAAAACTGTAGTTTTTCTTGAATACTTCCACCTTTGTTCCGGCAATATTTCTTATACTAGCTAGGAGGATACTGAACAACCATGGACCTCTCATGTCCATACACTTTTATCTCATTGTGCCTATGACAACTCTACTCTTCACTGGCTCTACTCTGCATTTTCTTCTATATCGTTCACTCCAGTATGTTGTTACTGTATTTTACTGTGCAAATTTGGGACCTGGCCCTCCAGTACCTTCCATGTACTATTATATACCTCTCTCATATCCTTTCTAGAGGGTACATTTTGAGAACTTTGAGACAATCCCAATAATTTACCAGTAGGTATTATAGTGCAATACTGGCATTTAGTTGTAATATTGATATTATACTGTGATACCAGTATTATACTGTGATACTGGTATTATATTGTGATACCGGCATTATATTGTGATACTGGCATTATATTGAGATACCGGCATTATACTGTATTGGAATACCGGCATTATACTGTATTGGAATACCGGCATTATACTGTATTGTGATACCGCATTATATTGTGATACCGGCATTATATTGTGATACCGGCATTATATTGTGATACCGGTATTATATTGTGATACCGGTATTATATTGTGATACTGGTATTATATTGTGATACCGGTATTATATTGTGATACCGGTATTATATTGTGATACCGGTATTATATTGTGATACCGGTATTATATTGTGATACTGGCATTATATTGTGATACTGGTATTATATTGTGATACCGGTATTATATTGTGATACCGGTATTATATTGTGATACCGGTATTATATTGTGATACCGGTATTATATTGTGATACCGGTATTATATTGTGATACCGGTATTATATTGTGATACCGGTATTATATTGTGATACCGGTATTATATTGTGATACCGGCATTATATTGTGATACCGGTATTATATTGTGATACCGGTATTATATTGTGATACCGGTATTATATTGTGATACCGGTATTATATTGTGATACCGGTATTATATTGTGATACCGGTATTATATTGTGATACCGGTATTATATTGTGATACCGGCATTATATTGTGATACCGGCATTATATTGTGATACCGGCATTATATTGTGATACCGGTATTATATTGTGATACCGGCATTATATTGTGATACCGGCATTATATTGTGATACCGGTATTATATTGTGATACCGGCATTATATTGTGATACCGGCATTATATTGTGATACCGGCATTATATTTTGATACTGGCATTATATTGTGATACCAGTATTATATTGTGATACCGGTATTATATTGTGATACTGGCATTATATTGTAATACTAGTATTCTCAATTGAGAATTTTGGGTTTGAATACCAGCGGGACAGAAATGGTTGGGCCAACATTTCCTTTCACCTAATGCCTCTGTTCACCTAGCAGTGAGTAAGGTACTCAGGAGTTAGTCAGCTTGTTGTGGGGGTAGGATCCTGGGCAGGGTCAGTAATTTGGCCTTGGAAGGTGATGAGGAATTCGATTAAAAAAAAAAAAAGCCAAAACGTGTATGAATACCCTCTGGCTTTCTGTCCCCCGACACGATGAATTATCTTGTCTATGTGTGCCGTATACGTTCCCTATTTCCGCAATGTCTCCTGCTCTGAAGGGAAAGCGAATATTGACTAGTACTCAAGGCAGAACAGTACAAATGATTAGAATAGTATGAGCACTGTGATTGGATCTCCCGATCTGAAGGGTTTTGTAATCCATCCTATCTCCTATAATTTTTCTAGCTGACATTATATTTGCTTGGTTATGCTCCCAAAGTGTTAAGTCACCAGACAACATTATTCCCAGATCCTTTACATGTTGCTTCCTGCTATGGGCAGTTGTGATTGTGTTCTGTACCCTGTATTTTGCTTAACTTCTTAATTTTTACCATACCACAGTACTTGAAATTTATCACTGTTAAAAATCAGGTTACCAAAGCCAGTCCAAATTTTACATATACAGTACTGTCTATTATTACATGTTAATAAGTTCTGGGCTCTGCTCACATGAACCAACTTGCAACCCATTCCTGTAGTGTTATTTTGTCTGGTAATGTTGTCCATAGATTCAAACACTGGTATGAAAGTTTAAATTGGGATCTGATGATAACTGCAGGCCACTGGTACTTGATAGTAGTAGTAGTAGGCATCCATCAGTCTCAGGAGATTATGGACTTGCGGTCTGGTTGTCTGTTTGGAGTGGCCTCTCCAGGGCGCAAAGTCAGGGTAGGTTGATAAAGAGGTAAAAACCTCTTTACATACTAAGTAATTACACCAAAGGCAATAGCAAAATTTTTTCATGGTCTTGGTTAGCTCTATAATAACTATACAGATGTATTATAATCATATTTACATAATTTATATAAAAAAAACATGCACTTTAAGGATTAAATCAACTACATAAAACACAAAAAATATACTTAAAAATGGACAGTACCTGATCCTTTCAAAATACAATACTGTATCACTATATTACAATGAAGTCAATGTAGTTGAGATAATGCAATATGGTTCAAAATATATTAGTATGTACCACAAAACAAAGGGGAAAACAGTAAGATGCAAATACTGTTTACCAGAGAGAACAGTATCATATTTTAACTGCAGCAGTTAAGTAGTACTGGAATGGAGAAGTAGCAGCAGCAAGGGTTACCTTAGGAGCAAGCACATGAGTTAGTTTGTTGACAAGCCAGGGTGGTAGCGTTCCTCTGGGATCACAGTGAGATACGTAGCTGAAGGAACACCCAGCAGAAGGTAGAGGGCGGATCAGGTAGCCTATGGATGGACACACTTGCATATGAGGCTCTAGTCTTACATCACTACACTAGCAAGAGTCACATTAGTGGCCACATTACTCAAGGAAAAACATTACTTTGTTATAGAAATTAGGTAAAACACATTTGTGGTTATAACAAGCGGTATGTAAAGCAACACCAAATTACTACCATGTTTGTGCTCGACTTGCTATTAAGATAGCACACTTATTAATGTTATAAGCATTCATGTACAACAAAATATTTTCAGTAAATATATTTTATACAGGGTAACTAATTTCTAGCAATTCTCTGTTAAAAATACAAAATACAAATGTAAAAATTATTAGTATCTACTGAATGTAGAAAACTTTTATATTCATGAGGATACTTTCACATGAAGAAAAGTTTGACATGTATTATACAAGTTATTGTTTTTAATCCTCAGCAAATCGTCTCCTAAATGACAAACTTATACGAGTGTGTGTACAGTGTGCCGGGTTAGTAACGTCAGGCAAGTAGTGCTCAGCATGGACAAACTCAAATTGCTATGTTATTAAATGAATACAGGCAAAAGAAATGAACAGAATAATTTACTAACACCATAATTCTAGAGATTAGTTCAAAGAATCAGCCAAAATTGTACAAAGTTTATTGCAAAATGATTTAAGATCTAAACTTGATACAGGGGTACCTTGGTTTAAGAGTTTAACCCGTTCCTGGAGACGGCTCGTAACACGAAAACTCGTAACCTGAAGCTAATTTCCCCATAAGAAATAATGGGAAATGAATTAATCCGTTCCTGACTACCCAAAAACCTCACTTCAAACTAAATTTTATACCTAATTCAACTAAATCTACACTACAAAACTATGTTCAAGTTATTACTTACCCTTGCTGATGAATGCTGTAGGTGTATGGAAGATGGTGAGGAGGGGAAAGGAGGAGAGGAATTACTGTTAGGAAGGGAAGTCCCCTTCCATTATAACATCAGGCAGTGAGGACCTCTCTGGGGTGCATTCTCTGGCACGTTTTGCCTCCATACCACTAGGTCCTGGTTGTGGCTCACTGCTCGATGTTCTCAACATATCTGTCCATGGAAGCTTGTTTTTCCCTTCTGCGCAAGATGTGTCTGTAGTGAGACATCACATTGTCATTGAAAAGATTAATGCAACGGCCTACTACAGCTTTCTTTGGGCGAGTCTTTTCAATAAAAGTTTGCATTTCTTCCCACATCTGACACCACTTTTTAATGTCTGCAGAAGGGACATTCGCTACTGCCTCATCTTCCTCCACTGGAGAAACATCCTCAGCTGGGTCTTCTTGCTGTTCCTTTTGAAGGGCTTGGAGTTCTTTGGTGGTCAGTTCTTTGTTATCTTCTTCCACCAACTCCTCCACATCATCACCATCCAATTCCAAGCCCACTTGCCGGCCCAGAGAAACAATTTCCTCAACAATAGGCGCATCATTTACAGGCTCAAACCCTTCAGAGTCTAGTTCTGGCACACATTCAGGCCACAATTTTCTCCAGCCAGAGATCAGGGTTCTTTGAGTCACTTCTTGCCAGGCTTTGTCAACGAGTTTTAAAGAACTACAAATGTTAAAATGGTGTTTCCAGAACTCTTTGAGGGTGAGGTTTGTGACTTCAGTCACTTCAAAACATTTCCGGAAAGTACCCTTTCATAAAGTTTCTTCAAATTCGCTATGATTTTCTGGTCCATAGGCTGAATTAGAGGAGTGGTGTTAGGAGGAAAGAACTTTACTGTGAGCAATTTATTGTATCTGTGCAACAATTCATCTTCCAAGCCTGGAGGATGAGCAGGAGCATTGTCGAGGAGAAGCAGGATCTTGAGTGGCAAATGTTTCTCCTGCAGATATTTTTCTATGGCAGGGCACACAACTTCATTCACCCACTCCGAAAAAAAAATCCTAGTCACCCATGCCTTATTATTAGCCCTCTACATCACACACATTTGATTTTCTGCACTTTATACTGTTTGAAAACCCTTGGATTTTCAGAATGATACACTAGCAAGGATTTAATTTTCAAATCGCCATTCACTTTTGAACACAGCACAAGCGTAAACCTATCTTTCATAGACTTGTGTCCGGGCAATGCTTTTCCTCCTTGGTAATATATGTCCTCTTAGGCAATCTTTTCCAGAACAGTCCTGTTTCATCACAATTAAACACCTGTTGCGGTAGGTATCCCTCAGCCTCTGCAAACTCTTTAAATTCTTCAATAAATTTCTCAGCGGCTGGTTTGTCTGAGCTGGCAGCCTTCCCATGCCTCACAACACTATGAATACCGCTTCTTTTTCTAAATTTCTCAAACTATCCCCTGCTTGCCTTAAAGTCTTTTTCTGCACTCGTTCCAGGGGTTTTCTTTACAAGGTCTTCGTGCAATACCTTGGCTTTCTCACAAATGATGGCCTCCGAAACACTATCACCCACGAACTCCTTGTTGTGTATCCAAATTAATAACAACTTTTCCACTTCTTCAAGTATCTGTGGTCTTTGGCATTCATAATGTCCTTTTCTTGGCAAGTATAGTGCATATCGTTGACATGGATTTGTTGTACTGCCTACAATGTTCAACAACACGTGCACCATTTTCATGCTTCTGAATGATATCTTGCTTTTCCTCTATTGTCATCCTCACATGCGATTTCTTGCCTTGAACCTTACCACTGGCTTTCTTGGGACCCATTGCGATGTATATTATAACAAATTTGATGCTCAAATAGCAAAAACTCCGAAAATAAACGGTAAATCCTTGTGAAGAATTCAGGTGGGATAGTCACTGGGCGCAAGGCACTGGCAAACTGAGCGGCGATTGCCGTGCCACCACGCGCTAAGTATTAAGCATGCATTAAGATGTTCAAATTCGCCCCTTAGGAAAACCTGAAACGCTGTCTGAGTCTCCTGCCACTCAAGCGTGCGGAACGACAGAACGCATGCCACGCCTCTAAAGAGAAGAGAGGGCGACTTCATAACGAACCCAGTAAAGACACGAAGATCCATACACAAAGGAATGCAGATCCATTACGAAAGCATAATCCAGGTCGTGCAGGAGGTAAGCCACAAGGGCATCTTGCACCACAAGGGCATCTTGCACCACAAGGGACTGGACGTGGGAAGCCGAAAACCTCCAGAAGATGGAACCGAAGAACCTATGAGAGCATGGAACTGAACCCATCGAGGGGTAGAACGCTAAAACAAAGGGTAAGAGGAGGGAGAGAAGATAAATTCGCTCCTTGCAACACCAAGCCCCGCTTGGAGGGAACAAAAACCCCAGCGAGGCCAACAGGGTCCAAGGCCCCCAAGGCAACCCCTCCCCCACTCCGGGAACCCTACTCCAAGGACCCAGAGTCAAGCCGTTCCCCCAAAGCCGCAAAAAACATTAAGGAAGGGGGACCCACTGGTCAGACCCATACAAATCGGCCGGAGGACCAGGCTCCAATGCCTACGCCACCACCCCAGAAGGGGACACCCCCAAAACCACCAGTGTCTCAACACCAACAAGACCCTGGCTCCGGAAAAACCTCCGGATTTGGACACCGGGCAAGCAGCGCCTGAAACCAAGGCTGGCCCGGCCACCATGGGACCAAGAGGATTACTCGACCCTGGTAAGTCACCAAGCGAGCTAGGACCTGGAGCAACAGCTGAACCGCCGAAAAGAGGGACAGGAACCCCCCATCTTGACCAATCCTGCCGGAAAGAGTCGATCCTCACAGCCTCACCATCAGGGAAGGGCGCTAACTATACTGGAAGACACCTCGAACTGCCAACACGAAGAGGTCCACCTCCGGGCCCCCGAACATCTGGCACAGCCATCTGAATGAGGCAGCATTGACCGTCCATTCTGTGGATAGGGGAATGAACCAGGACAGGCCGTCCGCCATGATGTTGCACACCCCCTGGACGTGAACCGCCAGGAGAGCCAAACCCCGAGAACTCAGCAGATGAGTCACCCGAAGCGACCAGCCCCAAACAGCCAAGGACCGCACCGAACCCCCTTGGTTCAGACAATGAACCACCAGGAAGTATTCCAAATGGAGCCGGATCGTCGATACGCAGGCGACCCGAATCCTCCGAAGCACAAATCACACCACCACAAACTCCCGCACTGTGCCGTGGGCCCGACGGAAGGATGGACCCCACCGCCCCTGGCCGGCCTGCTGAGCACTGGTCACAAAACCCCAGCTGAGAGACGACACGTCTGTGAACACATCGAGTGAGGGCTCAGGTAGGCATCAAGGCACTGAACCCTGAAAAACCCGACGAGGAGAAGCCGGCGAGGCAGTAGCCAACGTAAGGTCCTCGGAGGCCAAACCCAGTGATTGCGAGAGGCGGAAGGGATGTCCTCGAAGGCACCAGAACAGCTGACGAAACCTGACCCCGGCAGGTAGACCATCATCGTAAAGTTCAGGCTCCCACACAGCCTTCGAGCAACCACCGGGTGACCCGGGAGCTCTCCCAGAAACCAACACATGCGGGACCACAGCCGAAGAAGAGAATCCGGAGGGAGAGACAAAGAAGAGGTTTGAGAATCCCAAACAAGACCCAGCCAGGTCCGAACTTAGAGAGGGAACCAGATGGGACTTCCACCAGTTCACCAGGAACCTGAACCGGGCTAGCTGGGAAAGCACCAAACTCCCGGCGAGCAGACACGTGGACCGACTGGGAGCCCAAACCAGCCAGTCTTCGAGGTAAGCCAACACCCGAATACCTAAAAGATGCAGACAGGCCACAACCCGGGTAAGGCGTGTGAACACGAGAGGTGCCAGGTTCAACCCGAATGGGAGACAATGAAAGCGACAACTCTGACGCCCCACAACAAAACTGAGCCAGTCCCTGAACCTCGGATGAATTGGGACATGCCAATAAGCGTCCTTGAGGTCCAGGGACACCATCCAAGCGCCCGGCTCCAACAGAAGATGGACCTGGGACAGTGTGGTCATCCGAAAGGAGGGGCAAGAAACCCAGGGGTTCAGACAAGACAAGTTCAGAATGAACTTC